CTTTGCTTTGCATTGCTTTTTCTCTGCATGGCAATATCTATCGTAGATGTGATTGTGATCTTCACGCTCCCTCGAACCGCGTGACTCTTACTCTCTCCATCTCCCTATAACGTTGAGGTTTGGGCCTTGGGACCATTTTCCGAGGTTTCTTTTGTAGGTTTTACCTACCACGCAAACATTCGCCACAGGGCACAGACCACGATAGATTTGCATCAAGGTATGGTACATATGGATCGTACCTAGTAAACTACAAAACTAACTTGTTGATTTGAGGTTTTGTTCCATGCAATAGGTTTTTATGTGGTGTGTTTTGATCTCTATTTTTATATTTTATGTGGAAGAGTTTAGAGAATTATATAATGGTTTCGATCGTTTTCGTACATCAACTCCTAATAATTAAGTTTGAGAAAGTTTTTTTTTTTACATCATTTGGACATTTGCAAACCTTGTTATCCAAAGTTACGTTTCTTAGATCATATATATATATCCTCACAATAGAATGGTTATGCGTGGTTTCTCAAATTTTACCAATTCATATTTTCTTAGTTGCAAATTCTTCTCTCTCTTTTTCCGTTCTCATATAATAGTTTACAAATATATACTGTATTTCTTTACACCATAACTTCTTAGTTAAGTCAAGGTTTTTTCAGTTATTATTGTTCTATTTTTTCCGCATTTTTAATGGATTTTTGTTTGGTTTAGACATTTTGATCGCTCGATTATATGCTGATGAATTGACCATAACATGAATTACAAGAATGTAGAACGAGTAATCCAACTATGATTTTCTTACATCATTTGTAGGATAAGATAAATTCACATGATAAACAAAATTTACATGATATTTTGCAGACTAACAAGAACAACGATATTCCAAGGCCAAATAAACCTCATGAAAAATAAATGATCGGAAGAATAAAATCAATAATCCAAGAGTTAGACAACAAATAACTATTTACATTGCTTAGCCCTGAAATTCTCATGATCAAGAAGCCTAACCATGAGCTTCTCAAGCCTCTTCCAACTAACCGTTGGCTTAACAACCTCCGGAGTATTCAACCCCAATCCACCATCGGTTTGACCCAGCAGCTCGGTGTCGATCTTGTCGAGTATGATAGCATCCTCCTGAAACTCCCTCGCAAATGGAGCACCGCTTTCGACCATATCATGGAAATTCTCAACCGTTAGATTCAGGGCGCGCTGCTGGAGAAGCGGATCCCAATGCACGTAATGCAGGTCATGGTTAACCGTCGTGTTCTGAAAATCTTTGTTATTGCACACAACTGTCTGAAAATAGCCTTCGGATGACAAAAGGAAGTTGGTATAGTACATCAATAGCGTTCTTGGGAGATTGTCCCATCCCCAGATGCAGAACTCGAGGAACGGTCTTGTTAAGGCTATGCTCGTTGACCCTATTAGATCACATTCATACATATAATATGAAGGAGATGTACGCATAATATCAGATAAGAGTGAACAAGCAATGAGATTGAGTGTTTTACCCATAAAAAGTTTGAATGAAGCAGGCAAAGATCTACGTTCTTTAGCCCAAAAGACACCAGATTTCTTCAAATGGTAAAATCCAGGATCGATAATGATTGGTCTTGCTCTTTGGTTCCTGCATAAGTTACAGTTAGCGCTGTAAGCAAGAAGCGTGACACAAATGATAATTTTTCTTAATACTAAAACAGAGCACATTCCAAGTAGGTATACATAATATTAGCTCTCTCACTCTTTCCAACCAAGGTTGCTTGTGTGCTCGATGAAGTTCAAGTACCGGGGCAAATATGCGAAGATATGCAAAATATCTGAATATGAAAAAGAGCCAAAAGTACAATAAGATCACTGAGCTGTATAACACAAATAGATAGGTTAAAGCCAAAACCCAAATTTAATCCTCAATTCAAGTCCAGTGGTGAGGGACTAGTTAAAGTCGATAAATATAAGCCAATCAAACATATATATACATCAAATGTCTTCCAAAGTTCGACTTGTAGTTTTATATCTCAATTTTACTCTGACATTACCAAACTTACTCTTATCAAATTCCATTGAAGGACGGCAACCAAAGGTTTGAATGGTAAGCATTCAAACAAGAGAAACGAGTTTTGATGCTAAAATCAGGTTTCCATTTGAGATATGTGGGGACGCATTAAGGTCTTCTTAATTCCTATACAATTCAATATTGTCTAAAAGAGTATATATGAGATTGGTGAAGCTATAAACCCAATACACATGAGCTAATCAATGTACATAACGCTTTGTTGCATATGTTTTTCTCACTTCCTAAAACAAGTCAACAAAAGAAGCAAAGAACTATCCATAATCCATATGATAAGCAAGAATCCTAAATTTTTTTATTCATTTCATTTTGGATTACAGAACATTAATTCTCTCTGTCTCTAAAGAAACACAGAACAATCCATTTCTGATTCAAATTACCAAACTAACCACACACATTTTCCTATAGCAAATATTTATGGAAATGGTTTAAGATTTGAGTGAAGATTTTACCATCTTGAGTCATAAGAGGATAATCAGAGGAACTAAGATTAATAAACCAATCCCAATCCTTAGCTTTCTTCAACAGAATCGCAACACCATGAAGAGTACTAGCTAACATAGTCGGACCTTTCTCCGTCACTAAATCAGCCAAACCCATAACCATAACATTCTCCAACTTCTTCTTCTCCGATCTAACATACTTCGCAAGCTCCATTCTTTCTTCATCAGAAGCTTCTAGATCTAAATGCAAAAGATAGTAATTTCTCGGATGGTGTATTGCCCTGAGTAGCCGCTTCACTCGTTTCACATCCCCTTTCGTTCCCGTTACCAAATACGCGAACCTCGGAATCTCCGATTTTCCGATTAGGCTCCGGTTTGGGGTTAAACCGGAGGACGAATCGGAGGGTTTTCGAGAGGTTAGTGTTAAACCCAGAAGGAATAATAGGAAAACTCCGAAAAAAACTGAAATCGCTTGTCGAGAATAAGATCGAGGTGAAGAAATGTGAGATCTTTTCATGATTTGATTACAGAAATTCGCCGGAACATGAGAAGTCAGATCTGAACCGACGGTGGAGAGAGACCGTGAAGAAGACGAAAGTTTTGGTTTTTTGTAAAAAAATTTTGAAATTAAAAATTGGTTTCGTGGTGAACATGAAAACGTTGTCGTTTTAAATGAATGAATATGAACCGTTAGATTATATTGGATCTTTATTCACCGTAGGATGATTTAACTGTAGTGAAGTCAACGTCAGATTTTCCCATCACACACTCACTGTTGCTTACGGAGTTACGAAGCAACCAATTACATTAAAAAAAAAACAAATTAATTAAAAGAACACATATTTTTCTCGAAATTGACGTAATTTGTTTACAAAATTTCTCAAAAATATACGAAAAACAAATAAATTATGGAAATCACGAAAATGAG